TTTGGAAAACATTTCATAAAGGTTTTTCACTGTATATTTATGAAATTCGTGAACGTTTACCATTCTATGCTTTATATGCATGGGGTATGCCAGTAATTATTGTTTTAATTGGTATTATATTAGATGCAAAAAATGCTCGATTAAAACCATGCTATGGAAGATTTTTTCGTGGATGTTATGATGTTTGTTTTCGAACAAAAAATGACACACCATTACAAGGTAATCACTTAATTTTAGAAAATATATATACGTACTCTAGCAGTTTCATTAGTGAGAATAGAAGAGAATGCTTATCAAATTGATCTGTAATTTACTTCAAAGCAGAAAAATTGTAAGAAAGAAACAATATTATGTCCACGCATCAGACTATTTTCAGTTGACCGATTAAACTGAGTTTATTGAGCTGGTCACTAAGTCTAATATATGACTATATGAAATTAGTTTTGACTTGTTCACATTATGATGAATAATGAATGAATGTGAATGGCACCTTCTTATTATATTTTGTATATGAGTAATACGAAAAAGATTGTATGCTAATGTATTTATCTGTATAGGTTGTTGGATTGAATCTGCCTTAATGCGATTTGTATTATTTGGTTGTCCGGTAGCAATTATTCTCGTTATAAATTTTGTTTTCTATGCTTTGACTGTTCGAAGTATTCGACGAGGTTTACAAAAAGGTAAAATATTATTTTAGAATTTTTTTTCTTCTCTTTTATTATTCTTATTTTCTTCTAGTTCGAGTTCAAGTTGAGCGTAAATTTCAACGTAAAAAACAAGTTGTACCTGGTGAACATGATGTCAAAATCTATATGCGTATGGCTGTATTAGCTGGTTTTGGTTGGACAATTGGTTTTATTTTATTTATTTTACCTGATAATCAGCAAGGTTTTAAACGTTTTCTTGTTGCATCAGTTAAATATTTATTTATTTTACTTAATGCTACACCTGGTTTATTTATATTTGCCGTTTATGTATGTAATCGTCGTGTACTTTTATTATATCGTCAATTACTTACACAAATCTATCATATTTTTCAATCAAATTTTACAAAATTTAAAGAATGCATATTAAATCATAGTCGAGCTTGTTTAAGTAAGACAAAAAATAAAATAGAAAATTTCAATCAAATTAAAGATAAACAAAAACAAGAAGATTTACAAATGAAAACATCAGCTATTTCGACAATGGTTAAACCATCTGAGTCATCGAATAAAACAACACTTTCACGTTTATTATCAGAACAATCAGGTCGATCATCACCAATAAACTCTACTCATCAAACATTAAATTTATCATCATTAGAAAACCAATAAAATCAAAGTGTTGAATCTAATTCATAATTGTGTACTTGTGATTTTTATATTTCTTTTTTGTACATACATAAAAAAAAAGAAAAAGTTTTATTTGAATAAATTGATTGTAGACATCTACGTAAATAAGACTTGAATTTGACAATATCAAAAAAACACTTTTACTGTTGTATGATTGTTGAAGCATTCTAAGAGCTAAAAGAATGAAAGAAATAACAAGAGAACTTTGTTGTATTAGTCTCAATTAGCCTACGAATGAAAAATAGATCTGAACTCCTATGAAACACTGTGCTGTGATTACGCCCACTTATTGAAATAGTTTTAAATGTAGAGATGAACTTTTATCGATCAAATTGATTGTAAAAATGGATGTAGTTTTTAGAGTTTTGGTTCTAAAAACAATCACAAATAACAGCTCTCATTCCCAGCGAGATTGATGATAGTTATCGTCTCTGTAATTGAGAATGTGCTCTTGTCAGAAATAGACTGTTTTCAGAGAATAGTTTCTGTAAGGAATCTGAAGCGAAATCTGGTTTAATATTCGAGTTCTTCTTATAATGATTGTTTGGCATAACTAAGTTTCAACACATGCTAATACTTCTTGCAATGGATTTAATAAATTATGTGATAGGTTTATATTTGCTTTTTATTGAAAAACAAAGTACATTCAGCCATATGAAATCAGTGAACTAAGAAAGAGCACTGGTTCATTGATAGACGTAAGAATTAACAGTTTTTTGTTGAAAAATGTAGTCAAATTTCGATATCTCGAGAATGAAAGCCGTGAAATTCAAGCAATTCTAGACTTTTCTATTACAATCTAGCATTCATCAAATGATTTGATTGCCGGAAAAATTTCCTCATTAGACAATAACTTTTGTAGTTCTCAATGAAAATGTTGTGACTTGATCCCATATTGAAATTAAAACATACAACCCCTTAAGATTTGCATATATATTATTAAATCCTACAAACAGAAACCATTTTTTTCGAAATTTTTTAAAATGAAACAATGTCTGGGTATAGTGTCTTCTGTCATATAGATCATAAAAGCGGTTGTTATTAAATAATATACCCAAAACTACATTTCTTTTCTTTTTTGATGGAATATCTACGTTCATTAAATTGCTTATTTTATGTAACTAAATCTAAAACAAAAGCTAATATATGAGAATGAAAAAAGTTTAAGGATTATAATCAATAGTTGATGTTTATGAGAACAATGTTTATTATGTTTGCCAGAAATAAAAAAAAAATTAAAATCTAATTAATACAGCTTTGATCATGTTTTTTTCTTTATCTATGAAGAATTTTGTGTTTCATTTTCAAGGCCAAATTAAAATCCCTTGATTTAATGAGTACACTTGGTAGATAGAGATATGAAATCACATTATCATCAAAAAGTACATTTTACTCAAGTAAAATCATTCTTTTTATATCCAATTCAATAGACGCTGATATTGAATGAATTTATTCAAGAACTTACATAACACTTGCACTGTTGTAGGCATTCCAGAAAAGCAAATTTTCAAATATTATAAAATAATTTAATAAAAATCTTTATTTTAATGAAAAGTATCTGTTCTTATGTTACAAATAATAATGTCATAGATGTATGTATTTAATTAGTGATGCTCAGCATTACTTATAAGCACAGAAAGTTCTTGTAAATTTATTCAATAAACTAATTGTGCATAGTTTTTTCTTGATTAAACTTGGAGCTATGAATCCGAATGTATAGAAAAAAATGGTTTATAACAAACGCTTACGGCCATACCACGTTGAATACACCAGTTCTCGTCCGATCACTGAAGTTAAGCAACGTCGGGCTCGGTTAGTACTTGGATGGGTGACCGCCTGGGAATACCGAGTGTCGTAAGCTTTTTCTTATTCTTCAAAAATATTTGTTTTTTTTTTCAATTTGAGTAATAAAAATAAATATTCTGTAATGTACGTAAAGTGTCAATAACTTTATTGAAATTTTGTTTTATGTATTTATTAAGAAATTAAATATGTGATACCCTTATTAAAAAAAAAATACATCAATTCAAAATTTCATATAACGATTCTATGAACTATCCGAACTGTAACTCACTGTTTGAGCTCATATTAAATCCACAAGGAAGTTCAAGTAAGACTAGACAAAGCTCAAAAGGATATGTACCCGTAGAATTCTGAAGTCAAGGTATGACTGTTTTACTGAATTTTCAATCTAATATTCAGGATATAGATAGATCTAATGACTGTTTGAATATCTTGAAAATTTCAGTCAAGAAGAATATTTCTTTATCAATAGATTGAATTTTCAAGTAAACTCAATTTTTATGACAAATGACAATTTGTTGAAATAGGCAGAAACTCTTTTAAGGTTTCTATTAGTCTTATGGAAACATCTTTGCGAGTGTAATATGAGTTCAAACGGCGAATTATAGTTAGGCAAGTTTTCTTGTAAGACAAAAATAAAAGTCAATGTGATGACTATGATGAAATCGAGATTTTGATAATTCCTTTATTCATTATCATCAGTTTTTATATCATAATTCAAATTTTCTGTTGCTAATTGTTTTACTAAATTAAGTGCAATTAATCTTTGCCGTTCTGTATTCATATCATAGTCTTGTTTATCACGTTTCCAACATTCATAATAAAGATAGGCATCAAATAAATAGACAAGATCACCTAACATTTGTAATATAAGTACACCATTTGGATTGACAATGTTTAAAGTCGTATAAATACGATAGGCTAATGTTGTTGCACATAAATAAATTAAACTAGCAACAGTATACATTATAAATGCCCACATATAAACATCCTAAAAATAGAGAACTAGAATATATTATGTACTAATCTCTTTATTTTGTTACTTGAGGAACACAACCACGTTTTGGATTAGTTGAAGGTTTTCTTCGAAATGAAATACGCCATCCGAGAAATATAAAACCAGATTCCATTAAAAACGCATTAATACCGATAAGATTATATAATAAAATTTCTTTCACAAATCGACTTTTATTAAAAGCTAATAAAGCACTGATTAAATAAAAATAACTACCAAGATTTTGAAAAAGACAAGCGACTAATTCAGCTTCATATTCTATTGGTTCATTTTTATTTTGACGAAATTTTATAGCATACATATACCAATCAATCGTATATAACGCAGCATCAATTACAAATAAAATAGCAAGAAAAACATAGATAAAACAAGAAAAAGATTCATTAAACGATTTGAATATATAATTAATCGTATCAATTGTTAAATATCCAAACATACCGAGAATATAAACTACATTTGCCCAATAGCTCCAATAAGAAATTGGTACAACTAATGAATCCATTAAATACGAACACTGTTCAATATCCGCATATAGACAAATATGACATGCGCGTACTAATGTACATGATGAATTCGATAAGCAAAAAAAAAAACAATTATTGATTCGATAAAACTAGTTTTGTTACTCTCAATACTATGATTCTATATTAAACACAACAGCTTGCCATCTGCTCCACACATCATTAGGTCTTCCTTCAATCGTATTTCGTTTTATACTTGAATGCATTTAAAATAGGTCGATTAATGCATCGACAAAATAAAATATTTACTCCAAAAAAAGGAAAAAAAGAACCTCAAAAGTTATCGATTATTTCTTCTCTTTCCACACGCGCACACACAGTCTTTCACATAGTTGGTTGTGAGGTTGATGCAGAAAAAGCCGGTAAACCAGTTATAGCTCGACCGAGTATCAATGCATGAATATCATGTGTTCCTTCATATGTATTAACTGCTTCCAAATTCATAACATGCCGAATAATATGATATTCATCTGAGATTCCATTACCACCAAGAATATCTCGACATTGGCGTGCTATATCGAGTGATTTGCCACATGAATTTCGTTTTATTAATGATATCATTTCAGGTGTTACTCTAGAACAAAAAAAGAAAACGTTCGAATGAATGACATTCATAGTTTTGTTCATACCGATTTTCATCTTTTAATTGACCAACACGAAAACATGCTTGAAGACCAATTGAAATTTCAGTTAACATATCAGCAAATTTCTTTTGAATCAATTGAGTTTGTGCTAATGGTCGACCAAATTGTTTTCTATTTTTATATGAAATTTTACACATATATATAGATACATATACAAATATAACAGTTGAGACATAATAAACAGAAAAAAAATGTTTTCCTCTTTCTAAACGACTTCCCAACCGATTAAAGACGTCGATAGAAAACTTTCTGCTCTAGAAAACTACTATTTTTGTGTATCAAATAGCTAGTTTTTTGTCGGTGTAAAATTTAAAAGATGAACATCTATTTAATCACCTAACTACGATGGGCAAAAAGCAGAAATTTTTTTTTAATAAAGGTTACGCCGAAATTTCAAACACCTTACAAAATTCTGTATCTTTTGATGTGTTTGAAGATTTTAGAAAATATATACGAAAAAAAAATCTTTGCTAACGTTTCTACTCTTCAAACTAACAATCATATTCATTTCGTTAAAAATTAAATTCAACATTCGATGGCATGAGAACAAGCGTGTCATAGATGAAGTCTCGCTTTGGAAAGATGATTTTTCACAATGCATATCAAAATGTTATCAGTCTTTTCCTTCTGAAAAACGTTAAGCAACGGTCTTGATAAGCAAAGCGTTACAAAAATCAATAGAAGCCTGCAGAAAATCAGACATTCCAATTAGACGATTTAGTAGATGTTTATCTTTTAAATTTTTACGCCGACAAAAAAAACTGTTAGCCGAAAAACAAAGAAAATAATTTTGCAGAACGTAAAGGCCTCTATCATAATACCCACCGTTCGAGAGTATATTGTCGAGCAGTACTAAGACAAAATTCAGCAGCACCTAATACTCCCCATCCGATACCATATCGTGCATTATTCAAACAACTGAATGGACCCTAGTTGTAAAAAATACAAAAACACTTAGAAAATTCATAACTATTTAGTTCAATACATACTTTTAAACCTTTAACTTTTGGTAATAAATTTGCTTTTGGTACTTGAACATCATCCATAGAAATTTGTCCAGTAATTGAAGCACGTAATGAAAATTTTCCTTCAATTTTTGGTGTTGCTAAACCTTTCATAGATCTTTCTAAAATGAAACCTCGAATTTCTTTGTCATCACATTTTGCCCATACAACAGCAATATCAGCAATAGGAGAATTAGTAATCCTTAAAAAATACAAATAAAAAACTTATTCATTAAATTTTGCGTTCTTTTCTGATTCATATACAAACCATGTTTTCGTGCCATTTAATACATAAACTTGTTTATTTTCATCCCAATGTGCTTGTGTTTCCATAGAACCAGGATCAGAACCATGATTTGGTTCTGTAAGACCAAAACAACCGATTAATTCACCAGTAGCTAATTTTGGTAAATATTTTTCTTTTTGTTCTTCTGTTCCAAATTCACTGATCGGAAACATTACAAGTGATGATTGAACACTAAATGCTGAACGATAACCACTATCGACACTGTCAATGAAAGAAACACGTCATTTTTCGTTCAATATTCTTTTCTTCAAGGGGGATAACAGCAGACATCAACATACACGATGAGTCATAAAAGAAACTTATCCGTTTAGTAATATTATTTCTGCATACTTAGCACCGAGTTTTTTATTTGTTTCCCCTTGCGAAACATAGAGCTAGTAAAAAACTACCATTTTGCAATGTTTTAGTGTAATTTGAGAGAAACAGAAATCTTTGAATAACAGCTACTTTTGGCATGACATTTGATGTATTTATAGAACTACTGATATACTCATTAAAAAAAACATTCGGACTTTAAAAAGGATTGTTTTCATAGAAATTTGGGCATGAAAATAAAAATTTTCTCGATTTTTGATTTTCCATGGCTAATACAACGCCAAGGTGTCCTCTGTCAAATGTCATGTAAATGAAAAATTTGTAATGTTAGTGAGTACGTTTGTTAAATTCTATTTTAAAAATTCCTAGCAGAAAAATCGCGCTACGATTGTTCTATTCTATACAGAATTCTCCCACTGATGATGATGATTATTTCCCGTTTCTATGGTTTTTAGAACATGGATCATTGACTCTTAGCATCACTGAAGGCGACCAATTTTCGATCAACTTAGTTGAAGAAAAAAGTCCGAATACATAGAGGAAAATATGTCTTTCATTCGTCTCAAAATCGAGTTTTACATCAAAAAATGCAGAATTGCTTCCATTTCTCTGGCATAGTATATTTGCTAGAGCTGAAACCTTTTGTACAGATATTAGATCCCGTTTGAGATGGCTACTTTTTTTGTTTCGCAAAATATTGGTCTAATGATTTTCGGGAGTACGCTCCGTATTTTGACTTTTTTTATTCGAATAGAAGAAAATAAAAAGAAGTGTCAGCTATATGGAATATCTGTCAACTGAGAAAGCAGGACGATTAGAAGGGCAATTTTTAGCCTTTACGACCCTGATATCTCCAAGAGGGAACTATTTGGAAATTTTAAGTCTAAGACAATTTTTGTTCTACTCATCGCGATCTATCTACGTTGAAAATTTCAACTTTTTTTAATCAGACATTCTCCAAAAACTGAAGTCTCCTTAAGCTGTGAACGTCTAGAAGTATAGCGCGAGAATTTTAGGTTTATCCTGCATATTAAAAGCTATAGTTCAAAGATTTCTCAAGACTGAAGTCTCTAATGTGCCCCGCTCCTTCACTTTTTTGCCTACCGTTCGATTTCTCTAGCTAATAGCCCATATGCAACATATGAAATACCAGCACAGCCATAACCTAAATTTTTATATTTAAAAAAACAAGATCAAACTAATGAACTAAATAAAAACCTTGAATAGTTGGACCAAGAACACCAAGTTCACCTAATTCACGCATAATTTCCGTATGAAAAACTAAAAAAATCACTCTAATTCAGAATTTCAGAATAAGAAAAACAAATAACTTACTTTCTTTTCTATTTGCTTCAATTATTCTTGGCATTAATTTTCCTTGACAATAACTGCGAAATTGATCACGTACCATTCGTTCATCATCTTTTAATTGAGATTCAAGATCAAATGCATCTTCATAGTTAAATCGTACTTCTGTAATAATAATAATAATAATAATAATAATAATTTTAAAATAATCTTTTGAAACAAAATAAAATTTATTCTCACTTGTCGACGCATGTTGAATTCGCATAGAAAATGAAGGTTTTAAACAATGACGAATGATAGAAAATGTTCGATTATTAATGTTATTGAACATTTTGTGATCTAGAAAATAACAAAGTATTTGTTTTATGAATTATGATAATTATTTGAAACATGAATAAAAAGACTAATCAATGATTTTTTATACATATATCACATATCGAAAAATAAAAGTATTTAATGAGATTTCGATACAACACAAAGAGCCACACCACTTGTGACGCATAGCATACCAATCAAAAATCCTAAATTCAATTATTTTATATATTTAAAAAAAAATAAACGAAACTCTTACTTGAATTTAATAATTGTGGACGTGAAATAACATCACACAAATATGTTATTAAAAGTGTTAAAGCATTGGTTACGGGTACAGCTGTCGAAAAATCTGATAGAAAAATGAATCAAAAGAAACAAATTATAAATAAATATTCTCACCAGTTTTTGAAAGACTATAATAATAAAGTACAGAACCACATTGATTAAGTAGAAATGGAATCCAATACTACATAAAATCAATAAATAATTTTAATTTAAAACAAATATTTTGTATTACTTGTGCATTAGTGAAAAAGTACCAGATTTCAGCACCAAATTGTTTTATTTGATTGTCATATTTAATTTGTTTTAAACCTGTCGAACCCTGTTTTAAAAACCAGTTCGTTATACCCCATATAAAAGCTGTTAATAGACAGAGAATGAACATTCAATTTAGTAAGGTAAGGGCAAAAACAAAACAGAACAGGTCGTGTGAAGTGAGCGAAGCCGAACTCCATTTGTCCACTTTATACCAGTTTCTCATTATACATTTTCGAATTATCAGTCAATAGTTGTCCCTAGCTGTCAATCAGATATTCTATCATAATCTTAAAATTTGAAGCGAACACAAGATCGTTTTGAGTTCATCGTTGTTAAATAGAGAACACAATGTAGTTAAATCGAAGTAATCTATGTTTATGTCTACTTTATTTGTACGTGTTAATTTAGTATATCATGAAATGTGTTGAGAAGTAATTATTTTTGATTAATCCTTTTATTAAGATTAGATTTATTACTGTTCACAATTTATTTTAATATATTTGATGTTTAATGATCGAAACAGAAGAAAAATCAGTTAGAATATCACAAATACAATTGCAAACAAACGACAAAAATAAAACAGACAATGATTATAGTTGAATTATTTTCTTTAATCTACCCTATATGATTGCAACGACTTAATCAAAAGAATGGCGTACCACATTTCGTAAATATGAATAAGAATATGAACAATTTCGTCATAGATAGAATGATGCAACTACAATATGAAGATATGAAATCAAAGAAGTTCATTAAATGATATTTTTAGGAATACTTATTAAGATATGATATTTAATCTCATTGTGTATTCATCGATCAAATCATGTAGATGAATATTATTTATTTCATTTAATACTCTGATAAAGTGTTACATTGGACAAAGTATTTCTCATGCGCTAAGTAAAAAATATCAACAATGATAAAGTTTCATACAAAATTTTGATTATCAATGACATTTTCTCTATTTTCTGAGCTTGATAGCGCTTTTTTTTCACAATAAACAATCGAGAAAGACAATAGCAATAGAGATGCATACATCCGCCTTACTAACCAATATTTTCTCGTTCATTTCGATCTTCTGGTATCTAACTGATAAGTTCATTTCAGATAAACGACCTGTTTGCTGCATTCAGTGCTGTAATGAAAATACATATGTTTTCAATCAATGATGATTCGAAAACTGGCTTTTAATACATTTGCTAAAAGTAATGATTACGTATGATTCAACCTGATTGCTAGATCTAATTCTAGTCAAGTAAAAGGTTCAACTGACGCTACTCTGAAGCATTTTGTTTTTCGTCGCGCGATTGACTTTAATGTCATTATCCGATACATGAGTGACATGACATAGCGTGACTGTTTATTGTCAAGCATTGTGGTTGATGGGAAAGAACTTTATTAAGAATTGGCGAGGGATTTGAGAAATTCGTGTTTCACGGTTTAGTTCAATCGTCCAGTCGAAGAATGAATGCGCTACAATTGTTAGTAATTATTCAATTCTTCTCTGATACACTCTTTGGAAATCTCTGTATCAAATAATGATGCTGATCGTATTAATCCGCCACCTCTCGCAATAAACTGACGATTATTATCGGGCCACCAGCCAATTCGCACATCACCCAAAACTGTATTGTAACGGGGATTCCCACGAGCAAGACAAGTTGGTTCCTGTAAATCAACATATAAACATAGCTTTGCATTCTGGCTATTGTACGTGGCACATAGCTGATGAAAAGAGTCGTCGTATAGGGTGCTCCTGCTAACAGTAATGTTTGTATTATCATTTACACCGCACATGCCATAAACATTCACCTTGGTTGCACCTCCAATTGCTAATGCAAAGTTTTTATTGCATCCGCTTCCAGCGTTCCAAGTTGTATCGAATGAACCAATTGAAATTAAAATATTGTCAGTATTTTCGCTGCTTGCGCGGAACGATACGCAAACACTTCGACTGCTGTCACCATTTATATGTGTATTGGCACTAGGATATGTAATAAAACTACCTCGGTCCGAAGAAGGCATCCTCCAGAATGGTGTGCACATTGAGCCTATAAGATAGAAAAGAAGAAGCACACACGACATCAGTTTGGACCATCGTGCATTTCTGTTAGGCCTCGAGTCAGTCTTACATGGAAAAACGTGGTGGATATTTGAATTCAAAACTCAAACTACAATGTTCAAATTTAACAACAATTATGGATCATGCCCAAACTATGGCTCGATAATGGTAAGATAGCCCCTCACTTAGTCTGTGAACAGTAACCTGATCAATGACTTATATACCATTCGAAAGAGAACATCAAGTTTAGTTTTAGGTAGCGTAAGAAGCAGTTCACGTAAACGATGATCGACCCGTAGAGAATGTGCTTAATCTAGGTTGTCGGATCTTGCTCGATTTAGGATATGTGATAGGGGCAACAATTCAATAAACTTTCAAGCAAACCATTTTAACAGCATTCAGTTCTCGATTTTTTATACATTTTTTTACTGATATTCCCTAAAAATGTAGATTCAAAAAACAGAGAACTTTATAGTCTTGACATTTTGAGCATGGCTCGATCGATCAAGGGTGGATGGAGATGAGATTGAGTGCACTCAAAAGAAAAGGTATATTACTGAACTTTTCAGGTATCGTGAAACTGTACAGAGCCTTTACAAGATTTCGTAGCCAATTAAGTTTCGTGAAAACCATTACCATTAGAGATTTTTTCGGGTCGAAAAAGTTTCGTACGACACCTTCTATAGGTCTCGCAATCAAGAGGTTTTACATGAAACCAATTTTTTCCTTATATCGTCAATAATAAGAAGACATGTTCGCCAATCAGGCAGTGGACTGATCTGATATCATTGCTCAATTTATTCATTTACCTTTACGCTACTATCGATTCTGGATATCAAATGACAGCTTTCAGACTTCATACTTAATAAATGAGGACTTTACTATTGGTATAGGACTAAGATGTTATGGATACATGAAAATATTAACATAAAGAAATGAGTTGTTAAGGATAGCAATAAGAGAGTGATAGCCAAAAAGACGGTTCAGATATAGAAATAAAGTTTTCAAGATAGACATGAAGGGTAAGATTTAGCAATGAGCGGTTAAGAGTCGATTTAGGGTTAGATTCAAGAACAAACGGGTCAATAACAGATATAAAGATTTTGATTTAGGAATAAGCTATTAATGATCGATATACGGGGTCAGATATACATATAAGGGATTAAGGATAGATTAAAGAGTTTAGATACAGGAAAAAGAAGTTAAGGATAGATATAAATGTGTAGATTCAGGTATAAGGTATGAAGGGTAGATATAAGAGTTTAGATATTGACTTATGAGATTAAGGATATATTTTAAGGTTTAAACATAGATTTAAGAGCTTAAATTCAGGAAGAAGCGGTTAAGGATAGATGTAAGGATGTAGATTTAAGAATAAAGTGTTATAGATAGATATAAAGAGCTAAGAATATATATATATATTGGAAGATAAATAGAAAAATAATGAGTTTCGGATACATATAGACGGTAAGAAATTGGTGTAGCGAAATCCGAAACATATCGCTGTGAATGGCCAGTGAGAATGCTAAATGGTTACAAATAGATAGACAGATTTGTAGATACGCATTGAATGATCAGATAGAAATGTAGATAAATAAAATAAGTGTTTGAGCATAGATGGATAAACGCAGTCTCATTCTCTGAAGCATTATAGGAAACTGATGCATGAAAGCCTTTTTTTTCAAGGAATTAAAAAAAGATCTTCTCGCAACCTATTTTGTACGGAACTTTAAAGGGTTTCGATTTAGTTGCGAAAATTGAAACTCTTTTGGGTTGCGTATGGTATATACCTTCTTTTAGTTTGGGCAAAGAGAAAACCTATCCAAACTCACACGCCTAAACCCGTGCATGTCTACACCGAGACTCAGACCCACCCACAACCTATTTTGACGGGTCTATTATGCCTCTAACTCGTCACAGATGATCACAAGTGTTTCGACACGTTTTCAGTATTTTTTGCCATCACGGGATCGGTAGTTTAAAATCTTTATTTATGTGAATATTCATTCATTTGAATAAATATTTATGTATTCAAATGATCATTTAAGTGGTTGAATACTGGTGAATTTATTTAAATGATTATTTATGCATTTAAACATTTACTTTAAAATACATATACATTCCGTAATGAGAATATACAAAAAAAAACATTTCGATGTATGTATCACGTTCTATGAGGTAGGCCAAGAAGTTTGGGGGTGTTCTTTCTTCTCGCTATATACTTTACAGTTCATTAACAATCGCATTTCACAAAAATGAGTCCTGACGCATGAAAGGAAGTGGAGAGATTAGGATTTCATAAAAACTGTTAAGAGTGGTGATGGTATCTGAGTGTGACATTCTAACATTTAAATTTATCAGACACTGAATTTTGAGCTAATTTTGCATTGAACGCGACATTTTTTTATACACCAAACAAATGATCAAAATCACGACTGCTCAAGTATTTATGTTTATAGAACCTGGGTTGCTCACCGTCGCTTATATTTTTTGCGCTACAGACATGCGTCCATACACGAGGCAAGCAGATAGGTGTTTTGCAGCAAGTATTGATGATGCACTGTGATGTTGGTGACAAGCATTTATTATTTTCGGAACAAGTATCAAAATTATCACAAGTTGCAGTAGGGGCACAAAGTTTTGTTCCGCCTGATGCCGTGAATTGGTAGCATTCTTGACAGCCAGTATTTACGTTGTGACATAATTGTTGGGAACAGCTGGTCAAATGATCAACTCTTCGTCCTGGTCCATCAAACAACATATTTCAATAGACATCGTGATATAAAGTTACTATCTTACCTTCAATACTGTGAAAATTGAATAGAACAAGCATAAATAAAACATATGCGATGTGCATGTCGTTAGCGAAAATGAGACCGACAAGGATTATAGTCCTTATATATATATATATCGCACAGTATTTTCTTTTCTGTCAGGTATGTAATTAATTCAGCTACTTAAGAGTAAATCTCTCCTACAATTGGACGATCGGGGTACATTGAAATTCAAAAACTGAGGCTCATGGATAAAATATTCTATCATAGATATAGAAAAAGAAAGTTTTATTAAAACAATCAAATAAAAAAATTTAACAAACTTCAATCTGTTTGAGGATGATACTTGACAGAGAAGGTATCAAAATGTCACAATTTCTTCATAAAGAATATTTACATTTATTTTTAGTTGCATTTTCTCTCTCTATACATATAATTGATATATAGTGCACTGTATAATTGATAAAAATTCGTATTGATTCGCGTTCATGTGTGAAATTATTCTGAGAGACAATAAAAACACGAAATAATTTTATTTGTGGTTATGATAAAAATACTGATTATCATATGAGTATATATAGAGCTGAAATCTTTCTCTACTATTATGTTGATTTTTTGCACTGTAACTAGTAAAATTGAAGTAGGAGTGGATTGCGATGAAGACACTAGGGGTCGATGACTCCTTCCTTTTAAACTCTTTTTCAATATTTCTCAGTTGGAAAGGCTCCAAAATGAACCAATACAATCTCAAATTTGACTTGAATATATATTTTGTGATTATGATCGCTCCTTTTTTCGTTTAAGCGCTTCCATTTACTACAATTTTAGATTCATCACTAAAGCGAAATCGAAATGCAAATGAAATCCAATATATTCTTTACAAATACAAACGGTACTCAAACAGACTGTATGACCTTGTTATATTCTTTCAATCAATCAATTACTATCCTTTTCGAGTTTTTTTAGTAATATGGCTTCAGTGTATTACAACAGATCATATCGATCCTTTTCATCATTTGGTACTACTACTGATCCCAAAATGTGTATACTATGAAAGATTAAGCGTAAACGCGATACAAATCGTTTATCTTCTATTATTAGTACACCAAGTATGACTGATGATGTCATAATTTTCACAGTGGCTGAGATATCTTTAATTGAATGTGAAAATGCGAAAAACTCTTATTCAAACAATCAACTCTTAAAGGTCACTCTGATGATGCTAAGCTTGCGACAGAATCATCAAAAGTGGTAATTTTTACTCTTGTCGAAGATTCATTCTACGATATCTTCGAAACTGTTGTCAGAAAAAAATTCATACTATAAGCAAATTAATTTGAATTATTATGTTAAAACCTGAAAACTAACACCCAATAATATTCGTTTACCACATTATCCTGTAGATCAAATCACAAATAGACCATTCAAGATACATCTGAATGAAAAACTCGCATTTGAAAATAAAAGAATAGTAGTCACCAGTTACTGATGAATTTCCCATTCTGACGAAGAATTGAATAAAAAAGTCGAAGTTTATATCTACTACTGATCATGTTACTAATGATGATTCATCGTCGTCATCATCTCAATCTTCTAAAATTTCTGTTAGGCATAAAAACGTTTATGATTATGACGATGAAAAGACAAAACGAAATTAGATTAATAGTAGTCTAGAAATGTTTCATTTTTTGGCCCATACAATGGAATCATCAGCTGATATGAATCCTTCAATAAATACAATTTCAGAGCAAGATGATCTTGAAGCATGATGCCTTAGTCAAGCATTATGCACCATGAAAGTGTACAAATCGAAGAAGATGGTAAATTCGAGTCATAATCATCATAAATAAAACCTTTAGCAGCGTTGTATAATCAATCGAGTTTGTGCTTATTACCATTTTTTACTTGTTTTTCTTGCTTTATTTGTTGTTCATGTAAATTGCAAGCATTGCTAATAAAATTATCAAACTTTTACCGAAGAATGACTGTTTTAAGGAGTTGAAGTCAGCCAAACAGAATCACCAAAGCATGGTCACTACTTATCATAAATGTGATAGTTACAATGCTGTTTCAAGGAAGAAATACCAGGCGATTCGATGGTAGGATTCTTATATTTTAATAGAGCACCCAATACAAGAATTGATGATTCAGAATATCTAAGAATATGACATGAGTTTTTTAAAATCTGTTGACTACAGTAGTACCTTTGATTTTATCATCGGCATTAACTTCATTTTGAAATTGTTCATGTAATTTAAATATCTCTTGATTCACATCTACTGTCAATAAAGTTTCAATTGCATTTTTTGACTTGATGTTTAGTAAACTATTCCGACGTTTACCAATAAACACAGTTTTCCTGACTTTAGTATTAACAATGATAGAGGTATTATTGTGTCATCCATTCTGATCGATTTGTCTCGTTCAAATCTAGTGGAGCAAATTGAGAATGCAAACCAAGCATTGTGGCTGTTTCGACTACACGCTTACTATCCAGTACTCAATCATTCAAAAAGTCTTTCGTTTATTTCAAATAATTGCAATAATTGATGCCGTTCGGATCTATATTTTCAAAAACAATAAAACCTGATGAGTGGAACTGCTCTTTTTATTTATATAAGTCGGTATGTTCTGATGCTGGAAATCGAAATAGTTTCACTGCGAAGCGTCGTTTCCACTGTCATTTGGCACGAAGAATTCTGATGATTTCTTGACATCGCTTTGTACCGAATCATCTCGGGTAGAATAGTTTCTATGAGTCGTATCTCATCGTTTCTGACAACACAAATCAAAGGAACCTCGTAATCGGACGTCAACAGACGAAAAACGCTTAAAGTAATCAGGTGAGGTCAGAAAGTATCCATTCACTGACTAAATAGCGAGAAGTCCACAAAAAATTTAATTTATCCTGTTTTACTTTTAGTCCCTTCAAGCTAGTCCTTTAGCACCCTATAGTCCCTATAGTCCCATTAGTTCCCTTTAGTCCCATCAGTCCCTTTAGTCCTTTTAATCCCATTGGTCCCTTTTAGTTCCTTTAGATCCATTTAGGACCTTTTAGCTCCCTTTTCCATCCTCACTTCAACGACACTTGTACTCACACCCGTACCTATATTCTACAAGGTCTAAACGAACTAAAGTATAGCGAATATGGAAATCTTACCAGTTTCTACAACATAAAAGTAAAACAGGATAAATCTATTTTTTCGTGGACCGGTGCAATCACTGCATACATGAATCGTCTCAAGCAATGAAGGCATTTTTAAATAATATGATGCACCTGCATATTTTCTACGCATTTTGTTTTGTATAGAAAATAAGACACAGAGCAACGCATTGGATAAAAGAAATTGATTGAATTTAGGTAAATTATGGATTCTGAGTTTAATTAGAAATAATTATGTTCAATTAATTTTATTTATATTATTTTCATTAATATTTAACACATTCACCACGATGCGACCCACCGATGAGTCTCAGCGTGGCCGATCGTCGTGTTCAAATCGCCTCCAATGTGACACATTCTTTTAAAAATCATTAAAATAGCCTGTCTTGTGCAGTTTTTAACACTCTTTCCAATGATATATTTGAAAGCTAATTTTGATCGTATTATGATGGAGAAAAACAAGACTTATTGAAGATCTGCATCAGCACATGAGTACTTATTGAAATTCAGACCTTTTCCAAGATGTGTTTTCGATAAAAAAAAATACACCATCGTTTAGAGCGTTCTTTTTTCTATCGAATGGCATATGTTGAAAAAGAATTCATGTAACAATAGAAATGAGATGAGGTAAGAGATAAATAGAAATGCACATCTTTTTGACACGAAAAAACGGGTAATATTGACGAGAAAATTTTGTTAGAATTCAGAACATGGGTTCAAGAAGTTGATTTTTACCGGGGATAGACAATGAACTAAGGACTACTCAATGGTGAGATCAGAACGTTGTTAACACATTGGTGGGAGTATGATTCATTGATGGACCGCACCGTTCACCTATCGGATCGAATCGTGTTCAATGTGTTAAACTAGACAATAATTCATGAAGACATACAGTTAATTCAACTTTTGTTACCGGAAAGATGTTATTTTAATGTTTTTTTAAAGGAATGTCACGACAAAGAAATTGTTTTCCTTTGCATTTAATGATTCAGGTCTAGCCATGTTCCCTTGTTTGTTTTGTTCTATCGTATATCAACGTGGTTTACGTATACAGTCTTGCGATGTTCTGAATAAACAAAAGCAAGTAGATAAAGTTTTCTTTAACAGGTTTCTAATCAAAATATGTTTTGCGATTGTTAGTTCAAAATATGATATTTCATTTTATTACTTTTGCCTAAGAAAAATGAATAAGAATTATGAGACGTAAAAAAGTATCATACGAAAAGAAACGAAGAACAGAACAATCTGACCTTGAGTGCATATTGCTAGGGAAAGAAAAAATTACTATATACATGCTATCTAAATAAAAATAGACAATCAGAAAAAAAATTATTCAATGACAACACACATTTCTTATTTTAATCAAACGAAATCTTCCAACAAATAATGAACAGTAAGAATATTTCTTGAAATAACAATATTTTATATAATAAAATTTTCTTTAAATTTTTTTCGAAAACTTCTTTTCGTGTTATTTTTATTCATAGAGTTTATTTTCATCATCAAATGCATCCTTTTCATATCGATACACAAATAATACAAATACATTCACTATCAATAGAGATGCACATATTAATTGAAAATAAATTTCTTATTTCTATTCCAACACTTATACACTTTCTTATGATTATTCCTTACAAATGTTTGGTTTAATTTTTATTGACATAGAATGAAAATTTTCATCGATATTATTGTATAGAGAACAATAGTATGATCTTTTGTTAAAATAGGTAATTATAGACGATTTCTATCATCATGTCAAATACGAAGCAAACGTTTGTAATTATAGCAATTAATTAATCATGCTAATATAACTTATTTTTTATTGTATAGAATATTACATTTGTGAATTATGGTTCAGTTAAATATTACATTTATTTTGGTATTAGTGGTATGTTAAGTAGTGCCATAACACATACAACTGTTATTCCACTGGTATGTTATGTTCATGTAAATTGAAGAAAACTCTTTATTAATAGTTATTCTTCTGTGGTAGAAGAAAACATTACTGTTGGATATGTATACTTTTCGAACTTACGTTAGAGAAGTATTTTTTTTAATTATAGAATATTATCAAATGTCGATTATAATTAAAACCTCAAAAATATGAAAATTTCATTCACGCTTTTCAAGTAACTATTCCGTATGTTTAAACTAACAAACAAAAAAAAGCAATAGAAAATTTAAAATACATTAATTCGTTTAGAGATGAAGATATATTTGGCTTAACTAAAGGTTTTAGCACCAACTTTAATTGATTATTCATTAGAAGGTTTCGAAAAATTTGCTTTCTATGAAATATTAAAAATTTTTCATGGTGAAATATTTGTTGAAGAAAATGTTTAACTCTATCGAACAATAATATATTTATTAGCGTACTTCAACAGAATTATTTGTTGATGTCGCTTCAGCACTATGGGAAGCAATAAAAGCACGAATTCATACATAAGATAATTGGTCATCAACTTTAAGACAAGGTTTACCGAAATTTCATGGTAAAACATTTAATTCTATCTTGTCTTAATGTTATTACTTCCTTTTCTTGCTTAAATGAAGCAAAGGAATATGGGGACGAGAGGGGGGGGGGTATCATAAATATTCCTTTCATTTCTAATTAATGAAAGGCACAATGATTTTATTTAGTTTTTATAAAGGTCTTGTACCATTATGTCTTCGACAAATTCCATATACGATAGTGAAATTTGCATGTTTTGAAGGTACCATTGAAGCACTTAATAATTATATAAAACGTAAACCACGTGAACAACGTACAAAAACTGAAGAACTTGCTATAGCATTTATTGCTGGTTATATAGCTCGTATATTTTGTGCTATTATTAGTCATCCAGCTGATAAAATCGTATCAAAATTGAATAATAAAAAAGGTCTTAGTGTATTCGTTGCTATATGACGTGTTGGATTTGCTGGTAAGTTTAATTTGGTCTTTTTTCTCTGTAATCAAAATATTATTTTCTTATCTAGATTTGTGGAAAGGACTTGACTTGCGAATCTTTATAAGTGGTACATTGAGTGCTATTTAATTGTTTATTTATAATAAGGCTAGAGCAATGTTTGGAGTATTAAGGACGTAACTATTGTTCTTATTGCAACAAACATATGGTGAAATTAGTTTGACTGACTTTTCTTTGTCATTTAATTTAAATTTCTTTTATTCTAACGTTGTTATATATGTGATACATTATTTATTGAACATTAAAAATAAAAGAAAGAAAAACTTCATTTGTATTTAATTAAGTATAAAAATGACATGTTAAAACTCATTCTCAGTTGAAATACAATGATTTCTGATTATTATTATTATAATTTAATGATAGTTTTATTTCTTATATAATTTAACGTTTATTGATGGAAAACCGCTCTATGTAGGAGAGTGTTGCCTTATATGAAAACACAATCGAAATGTCATTAGATACTAGTTGTTTTTTGTTTTTAAATGATAGATTTGTTTATTTTGATAAATGGATGTACAGAGGTGTTCGGAGGCCATTAGAAGTGGGATAAGGGGTTGCACGTTTTCTTGGGAATTGATGAGCAAAAAAACTAGTAAAATATTGAAGCTTTGCTGAAGAAACATGAAAATTTTTCAAGATTGGGAGGAGTCACCCATCATCCCCTCCCTCCGTTTAGGACATACTGTGTCTGTAAAACAATTGAAATCATTACTAAATAATATTACTAAGGTTAGAGTCCGTCGAATTAATCCCAGACTCAAATGGGTTCTCGTGCAGATTTCGAAGTTCACTATAGACCGGCTACTAGTGGACTCAACAAGTTATTCTCTAAAATTAAAAGCTAGTTATATTTATATAATTATAAGAGCATCATCAAGTTTGTCTGAGAATTAGGTAAGATGTATTAGTAGCAAAATATAAATAATCTATAAAAACAAAGTTTCTTGCATCTTCGATGCGATTATCAGATCCCGACTGAAAAATTTTGTTTCATATTATAAAAGAATACCATGAATCTATTCGATGACGTTTTTTTTTTCATTTTCTATGAATATTTATATTGATGAAAAAACTAAATTTTAAATTAAGTTATTTTTCTTTTATGTGTTATGCACAGTTTATAACATACATCATAATATGTATAGTTTGTCTTCTTCTCGTGCATAGATGAATAGACAATAAATATTGATCATATTTTTCCGGACTGTCAACGACTCATAGAATTTATTTTTTGCATAACAGAGGTTTTTTTAATGTAATTTGATTAACACCGTAGTGAAGTTTTGATATGTGGTCTATGCAAATAGACAAGTATCGTAGACAAATTATTCGAATAAATACTTTGGTATATTTATTTTAAGTTATGAAATTCTAATGAATCAATTCCTATATTCAGCAAAGTATTTCTTTGTAGGAAAGAAATTTTCATATAATATTCAATTTGAAAAAACAATCAATTTATCTTTTTATTTAGATTTTTATTTTATGAATGTCACATACAATTCTCATGTTTATTTGATTATTTATTTTACGTAACACATAGACAAAGAGAAAAAAACTTGAACGTTTCGAAAAAGAAAAAAAGAATGTCATCTATTTCTTTCCTCACTACATTAAATCAATTTTTTCCACCATTACTTCAACCATATCACCATAACCTTTTGTAAGCACAGGAACACTAGAGCTCGTTATAAATCGTGTTTTACCATCAGCTACAATACGTACACGTAATGAATAGTTTGATGTTTTTTCTACATCTTTTTCATCATATTCCATTGAAAACGTAATTGGAAATGTTCGGACTTGATTTTCTAAAATTAATTTTGAAATTGTATGAAATTTTCGTACATAGGAACCATCTTGTGAAGCAATGTCTATATTAAAAGTATGTTTGTTTAAATATCTGAAAAATGATTGTTCTTTTCTTACTCACCAGTCAATGTCATATCATCGAGATAAATAAGAATTTTATGATTGTCATTGAGAACTTCATTACGTTTATCATAGTCAATCGTACCTTCAATACGTCTCACCATAATTATCGATAAAGAATATCTTACTAATTTGTTAGATAATCTTAAATAAACATAAAGGTTTATAGTTATATTGAAGATATCTTAATGTATCACAATGGAAAAGAAAAATCTAGTAGAAATGCACTTAATTGATTATATAGGTAACGAGAAGAATAAAATCTTTATGTAAGATAATGTCTCTGTCGGCGCAAATCGACTAGGTATGAACCTTTGTTGCTTATAGAGTGAGTTTTAAAAAGGAGACGGAAACTTAAACAACAAGCAATTATTTTCTCTCTTTCTCTCTCTCTCTCTCTACCTGTATTTCGATAATCGTCAATCATCGGAAAAATGATGGTTTTATTTTTTTTTGAACCTTCCCTCTCTCTCTCACTTTCTTTTTTCTACAAAGTATATAAAAATGTCGATAACAATTGAACGTCGAACATTCTATGCTATTAACAGCTTGTTTCTTTTCTTTTTTCTTAAGTAAAATAAAGAAAGAAATCTATATTATTAATATAAGATGAAAACAAGTGAAAAGAAAAAAAAAGGTAGAACAGAAGTAGACATACTTTTTTCTTTTGATTGACTCTTTCGACCGTTAAGGATCAGTCATCAACATCTGTCGATCTATCATTTGAAATAAATCAATAAATATGAAGTCCATTCTTAAATTTGAGACCAATTAATTTGGAATTAACAAAAATCTAAACACGCACGNAGAGATCACAATTTAACTGACAGAATGAACATGTGAGAAATAAAATTATACTCTAAATAGTAACGCTATTATCAAAATAATAGAATTTGATGTAGAACATAGACTCTATATTTTTCATTTATATTTATGTTGTCGACAAATTGCAATCGATTGAATCATGTTTTATTTAAAAAATTGAATTTTTTAAATAGAAATCGGTTTTCTTAGTTGTTTTAAAGGGACAAATACACTTATCGACCCCTTCCCCCTCGTGCATTGCGTATATATTGACCTAATTCGACTAATTAGCCTCTGAGGAGTTCATTAAGAGTATTCTCAAGGGCCCCAGACCAGTAGTTTAAGAGATAGCGTGTATTTGTCCCGCTTGATACAAGTCTTAGAAAGCATCTCAATAGCTGAGGGTGCCACGAAATCGTGAACCACATTTAAAGGGCATCTCCATAGCTGAGAGTGCCATAAAACAATATTTCATGGCACCCTCAGCTATTGAGATGCTTTGTGAGGCTTGTCTCAAGCGGGGCAAATACACGTTGTCTCTTAAACTATTGATCTGGAATCCTTGGGAATACTTTTAATGAACTCCGCAGAGGCTAATATAGTCGAGTTAGGTCAATACATAACGCGGGGTCGATAAGTGTATTTGTCCCTGTTTTAAAATATCCAACTCTAATATAAATGAAAAATATAGAGTCTATGTTCTACATCAAATTCTATTATTTTGATAATAGCGTTACTATTTAGAGTATAATTTTATTTCTCACATGTTCATTCTGTCAGTTAAATTGTGATCTCTTGAAGCTCTAACCTGCTTTATTGATAAACTTATAATTAAAGTTTCTTGCGAAATAAAAGTTATCTGAATACATTAATATTCAACTTCTACATGTTTAAAATATCTATATACAAATGCCTATCAAATATCACTTGATTTTTGTTTTGAACATAATCCTAATTGAATATCGACAACTACTTTCAAACAAACTTCTTTGTATATTCAAAAGACTTAAAACACTTACAATTGGTCCAACCATAATTTTTTTGATTGATAATGAATCAAATATATGATTATTGTATGATGTTTCAGTCATTTTTTGATGAAATTCATCCAAATTTGTATGATTTATTGTTGTAATGCTTAGATAGAATGGTCCTCTTGAACGTATTTTAAAATAAAGTATTAAATCCATTATTTGTAAGTAGATAATAAAAATTAAAAAGTATGAATAAATTGGATATATCATAAAAGAACGAAATGCACGAACACAATAATGTCCATGTTGATAAACAGATCGTACTGGACGAGCTCCATTACTTATTTTACGTATATCAATAGCCATGGATTAATACCGTTTAGAACATATAACTAATACAGTGCAAGATAAATAGATTCTACTACGATTTTATACGCAAAGCTGAGAGAAGAGGAATGAGCTTCTGACATCAGGTCATAATCAGTTGTTCTTCGCGTAGTAGCATGATTGTTGTTTTCATCATATCGTTCGATTTTCTCTTCCATTGACTGATACTTCAAACATGTAAAAGAAGAAGAAAAAAGAAATAGAAATTCTTCAATAGCGTAATAAAAAATGAGGTGATTCTCGCGTGTCTCTGTCTATATGTACTCCCCAACATTTCTGATCAGAAATTTGTATTAACAAACAATATAAATCTACTTTTTTTTTCTTCTAGTTGTTCATAGAATAAAGGGTTTCTTAGGATAGAAAAAGAATACTTGATACTCTTGCTCTATTCAATCGAAAATAAGTAAATAACTAGAGGTGCATCAAGGTCGCCAGAATTATGAGTACACGCTGTTTTAGCAAATTGGTGAGCAAAAAACATGCTAGAACTCCACAAAGAATATAACTCAATAACCACCTGACATATTCATAGAAGTGAAATAACAAACATTTAAGCTACTTAACTCTATTCATTTATACAAAAAGAAGTACGTCTAGTAGAAGACAAGAATAAAAACATACATATAGTAAACTTACTTTATCCAAATCCCATAGTCAATAGGTAATCGATGGTATATCAATTGCATAATCAACTACTGTAAGAAAAAGGAAACATAGAATATACGTTTGTTAAATATTTACAGCTCTTATCAAATATTTCTTTTTAAATTCTCTTGAATTGGCACATATATTTTTCATCCAAATGAAAAGACAAAATAGAAATATAGAAACATGTGCTTGAATAGATTATTTTCTTGATTTATATTCAATATTTTTAAAAAAACGAACAGATTAGTAGTATTAACCATTGAAAAAAATTGAAAAACAAATTAAATGATAGCATTATATTTTGTTTCTATACGTTTTCGAATAGAAGAAAAAAATTAATAAAATGATTAACTTGTATCCATTGTATTGTCAGATGATTTTTTTTCATTAGATTTTTTATAATGTTTTTCTAATGCTTGTGCAAAAGCTTGTAGATCACCTTCATTAGCTGCTGTTACCACATCATCTGGAAAATCAAATTGAACAAGAAGAGGTCCTAATTCACCTGATTGAAGAGCAGCACTAAATTTAAAAAAAAAACAAAACAAAAAGCAAAAAGACTAAAAACAAATGTTTACTTTATTAAACATACCTAAATGCACTAACAGCTTGTCGAAATTGTGGTGATTGAATTGATTCTTTTAATTCTTTTTCTGTATTTGGTACTGTACTACCTTCAGGTAGATGAGCAAGTAATTTTTCTTGCACATCTTTATTAGCTAATAATGGGACTAAATTCTAAAATATTTACGTGATTAGATCGAAAAACAAAAAATTCTATCGAACATACTTCACTAGTCATTATATCACACAGATCAATAGCAGGGTTAGATGAAGATGTTTCTGTTGCTTCAGTTGTTTGAGTTGCATTACTACCCAAATTAGCCAGAACATTTGTCAAAGCACTCAGTTGAATAGAACCACTTTTTGATCCGCTAGATGCTGTTGAACTAGCAGTATTCTTAGGAGCCGCAGTGGATGACGACGAGCTTGTTCCACCATTACGTGGTTTTGATGACGAACCACCAGTACGACTAGTGGATGTAACTGTTGTCCCTGTAGCATGTGTACTAGCTGGTGCTGTATTTGGACGAGAATCAGTCGTATGTTGAGTTGAACTACTAGGAGATCCTCCACTACGATTCATACCTTGTATCAAACCAGTCCTTCTACTACCACGTCCAAATGATGACGTAAGTAATGATGCCAATTCATTTGGAGCCATGTCTATCAAAAAGAAACTTTTCTTTTTTTTTTTGTAAAAAAAGAAAATTGAGATCTACTTCGAAGAACATTCGATAAATCATTTGGATCAATACCACCACCTGCACCACCACCAGCAGCCATTCGCTCCATCAATGGTTGCAACGGATGAGAACCACTTGCATCACTAATATCATCACCAAAGCCAGATGTTGGTGGATGATTAAGCTAGTAAAATATATATTAAATTTAATTAAACATAATTAAAAAAATGTCTACTTACAAGTTCATTTATCTTTTTACAAAATTCTTCATCTTCGTCTTCTTTTGGTTCTTGCATCCAAAAAAATAATTTACGAGAATTACTTCTCCATTTAAGAACATATACACGTCCTATAATGTATATGTAGGGTTTTTTTCGTTTGTAAAATTACATAAGAATTGTTTTTATATTCACCTGTTGTATTTTGTGTGACTTTTTTAAAGTCAATTTCATCTGGAAATATAACAAGATCATCCTCAATTGAATTACTTGATCGATCTTTCCAACATAAATGCATAAGCATATCATTGCCTTGATATAAATAAACAAGACCTTTACGTTTATCTGGATAAACCTATAATAAAAATGTGTAAAACAACAAATATTCAAGTTTATGTAACAGACCATGCTGCCACGTAGATTCATTTTACCAGCTTTAAACTCCACTAAATTTCGATTATGCGTTTGAGAGGCAGTTCCACCGAACAGTGACATTTTGTTTCTTTTTTTTTTAAGTGATTAGTAGTATTAATTTCGAAAAACAAAAGCAAAATGAAATGAAAACCTGTCACGCATATCATGACGAATTCATAAATTTGATTTGATTGGTGCAAACTATCATCAATGTAAAATTAGTACCGCCTGTCAGCGATAATTATAAGATCTCAGCTTGAATAAACAGCAACTAATTTAACGAAAACATTTACTTGTAGTGATCAGTTTAAAAAATTGGTATTGAAATCTTTGGAAAAGTGTGACGACTTGTGGCTCCCTCTCAAATGCCCTCAACGAAAGATGGATCTATCCTAAGGAAGAATACGCAAAAATGAAATTTCACTATTGATGATGAAACAAAAGCAGCGCGAACGTCTTCAGATTGTTAAGGTAGTGTATAAGAAAATGTTTCATCGAGGTAATAGACCTTTAAACAATCTCACTAGTTTTACTCGCCAATAAGAAATAATTTCAATTTCAGGGGGGGGGGGGTATATTCACTGTCACACACATCCTTTGTTCTAGTGGCTCTTGCAACTTAGTGTAGATATGAATTATTTAGCAACCTTCTCTAAAAACTCTTCTTAGAATAAACTATAACTCCTAATGAATTGTAAAACTTTGATCATTGTCATCTAAATTATTAGAACAATTTTCTCTTTGTTTGTGAAGAAAACTACTATAAAAATATTACAGCTATTCAAATGTGATGTCATCAAATGACTTGTTGTGTAACAAAATATGTATTTCAAATACAGTAAAACCTCCCATAGTGGACACCTCTCTATAGTGGACACCTCTGTATAGTGGACACTTCGCGGTCCGACGGAGCGATTTTTGCTGGAATCGAACCTCTACATGGTGGACACCTNTTGTAGATGAGCTAATCTAGTTGAGGTCTTGATATGGGCAAAGTTTCACGTCAAAACTTGAAACTTTGATTTAATGGGAAAAATGGGATCCCATAGAAAAACTATAGTAAAAAGCCGATATCTCAGCCAAATCTCAACTTGGGCACATATCCTCTTAGACTTTTTCTAGTCTATGCATTCCCTACTTGTGGACAAAATTTCAGCTCAAAAGCTTGTTAGCACCTCGAGTAGTTCCCTCGTTAGTCTGGAGAGTAGAGAGTATGAAAAATGCTTACCCTGCATGTCTCTAGATCACATTCTGTCTTTGATATGTATTCTTTTCTTGATGTTCTCTTTGTTCTTCGTTTTTCTCGTTTCATATAATGTCTAATTGTTTTTACCTCGTGAATTCTTTGAATATAGAACAGCATAGAACAACGTTCGATTAATGGACTTAATGAAAGAAAGATTTAATGAACTTGTTTCTGCATTTGTTTTTTGTTCGACCAACAACACTTTATGAGAGCGCTGCAGCGTCAAACTTTTTCACTCCGACTGTGAGAAATACTGAACATTTTTTTTTTGTTGCCCACCATATTTACTACTTTTAGTGATAATTGTTAATAAGAATGTTTCTCTAATGTTTTTCAACATATGAAGAATACATTAGTTACTATGTGAGAGTAAAAAAGAACTTCATAGTTTTACTGATATAACTACGACTCCAACGAAGCCGAATTTCGGAGTCCGATGTAAGCCTTTGATATACATCGAAGATAAAATATGATCTAATATTATCGTCATAACAAATAGCTCTTATCGAAATTTTATTATAATAGCTGAAAAATAATCAACTGTCACAGAAAAGGTAATTCATTGTTTTATCATCAGACCATATAGAGAAAATTTTTTTTTTCTAAAGCTTTTTATAAGAAATTAAAATACTTCCGACTCTACTTTTGATATTCTCTAACAAAATATTTTCATATCAATTTAGATCAATTTAAAAAGGTTTGTGATAAATTTTGTAATAGTTCATCAGAAGCTATAAGTCAATCAGCTGAAGATGAATTACAACATGTTATAACATGTATACAATTTGCAAATGATGAATGTGATTATGGTGAAGGCTTAGAATTTGGTTTAAATTTATTTTTATATGGTTCATCAAAACTTCATTCACGTGTTATGAATCTTTTACCACTTGCATATAAATTACTTCGACGAAGTCTTTATACACAAATTATAACAGATCATATATCATCAGGTCGTTCGAATTTAATTGAAGATTTAAATCAAATAGAAAAAAACAAATAGTTTAATTTTCTGTCAAATGATTTTTGTACATGTTTATTATATGTTCATTATCGTTTAATAATTTTCTATGTTTATTGTAAAATAGTTGGGATTGATATGGACGTGAGATATAAGATAATTGAAGATATAAATCAGATTGAAGACGTTTAAGATGTATGTGATCAATATCATTTTTTTCTTGAATAAGATATCGATCAAAATAATCAATAAGTTTTGTATAAATTTTAGCTTGATCTTGTTCAAGTTGATTTACATAAGATTGAGTTAAACGATCAAACAATTCATCAGTTTCCATAGGCATACTTCGATGATAATGAACAAGTTGTTCAATAGATTTTCTATGATTTGTGATTATTCCTAAAACCAGAAAAGAAAAATTTATTTAAAAGAATAAATACAGATAAATGAATCTACGAAAATTAGTCATCATGAAAAAAAGAAGTCGATAAAGAAATTAGGGCTGATACCCTCTCGGTAATTTATTTTTTCTTGTCAGTATCCTGTGGATATAAGATCATTACATCAGAACTTAAATTTTTTTAGTCTTACAATGGAAGTTCTCCAACTAATTAATCGCTTTTGAGTGAGAGCTATGCACTTCACGTTGACAAAAATAAGCCATGAATACCTTGAAAACGAGTTTAGGTCCTTAGATTTTTGTTGTCGAGATACTACACTTTAACGGTAGTTTGAAAATGAATGCCGCGGTGTCCTCAGAAAAACTGATTTTCGAATTTCGACTCGAAACTTTGCACAGAGCTATACCTTTACAAGAATAGCTTCTTGTGAATGTTTTATGGAACTACAATGCAAAAGAACATCAGAAACTTTGCCTTTCACCACAAAAAAATCTCTGATTAAAATTTTCAATCTATCCCTCGTCAAATTTTTATTTGTAAAACTTAGTCTGTATTTTGATAATCTAAGTTTAGAAATACTAGCCATTCTTTTGTGTACTTTATGTGGAAGTGATCCTGTTATAAAAATAATAATTTATTTTAGTAACATTGAAAAAATTCAATGTTTGGTCATCATACCGCTCATAATCAAAAATACGTTAACAAAAGAAAAACTAACGGAGAGATATAACTTATCGAAAAGGTTCTACTTCGCTTATTGTAGTACAAAAAAAAAAAAAAAAAGGATACAAAACATCATTAGTGTAAACTGAAAATTACGAGAAAGAAATACATGTTTTGGTACTAAAATTTGATTGAAAAAGCTTATTAAGTAGTAATAAACGAACTGTTTTTGAAACATTGCATACGTAAAGAGTTACTTTCCTACTAAAATTAGATTTAATGGTAGCAAGATTCTCAATAGTACTTACTATAAGCTTAAACCTTTTTTTTGAAAAACTGAAAGAACTATTGTTTAAATATGATGTTACTATAAAAATTCGAAGAACTATTCAGAAATATTAAATTGATAGTTTTTCATATTGGTATTCAGTTGAATGTTTTGATTAAATCTTTTTGAAGGTAAGAAAACCATGGCAAAAAAGGTCTTTATTTGTTCATTTTTTTTTCTGTCAAAACTTGTAAGACTTGATTGAAATTCGCCTTATTTCAACAGCCATGATTTTGTATTCTACCATTATAACATTAAGAAAAATATTTACAACTTTGAGCAAATATTCTTCAAATAATCTATTAGAAATTCTAATATAAAACCATCTATGCATTAGAATATGATATGATTCCTGTTTTGTCGTATATCTTGATAAAAAAAATATGATGATTGTTGTTCATACAAAAAATGTTTTCAAATTTCAGTCAATATGAAGAACATCTGTAGGATTTAATGCGTATAAAATATACGGAACTATGAAACAAGTAAAATAACACTAATAAATATCAAAGTAAAAGCACATAATGAATTAAGTTAATTAATGCGAGTAAATCTCAATGAATGATTCGAATATTATCTATAAATTGACTGATGATATTCACAGAGATATGTCGAATTTCACATTTAAAAAATAGACTATTTTGCTTGCATAAAATTAAAATCCAATTCGAAAACTAAATACATACTCGGAATAATCAACCAAACAAGTTCCAATTGTTCTAATGTCAAATGAGATTGATGAAGTTGTTCAATAGCTTGACAAATAAATTGATATGATTCATCCAAACGATTCATTTGAAAAGCCATATTAGCTTTCCAAAAATATTCTTCAACAATATTCATTATTTTATTATTCAACTATTTATATTCGTTTTCTTTGTCTACATCTATAGGAAAAACTTTCGACACTCTAAATACATATATATATATATATATTTAAAAATAAGCAAAACAAGCCACGTGTGTGTTATTGTTGCTAGTCCATCTGATTCACTTATATGTTTGCCTAGCAGACAGAATGGCACACTGAACTTAATTCGTTATTTTTCTTTTTCTTCTTTTCGATGTTATATCGAGAGAATACATATTCTTTCAGTTCGAAACGAACAAATCAGTTTAGATTTATAGTTTGATGGTAAATAGAAAAATAAAAAAAACATAAACAATGATGTCGACATCAATCGACCCTCATAATAATAGTCATATTAGTAATGGACGATCATTGAGAATTGTTTCAACAAATCGACTCTTTACCAAAGTCAGAACTGAACAATCATCAGAATCAAGTATTCTTGTTTTTTCTTTTTTTATAATTTATTTTAATAAATAAATAATTTAGTTTTACCATCGATAATGGATGCAACAAGTCTATTTTCTGATCATCATCATCTTGATGTATTTCCAAAAGATGAACCAATACTTGATGAAACAACAATGATAACATCATCATCATCACCACCATCATTTGTTGATTTTCATCAAAATTTATCAACATCAACATCAACATTATCATCACCAACATCATTTTCACCATTACAACATGATCATAGTTATGGTGTATCAACAAATTCTTCTTCATTACTTCAATCACCGTCAACACCTGATACATTAGCATCATCGGATTTAAATATTCAAAATTCAACAAATACGAATTCAAAGTCGTCTGTTGTTGTTACATGGCCACAAATAAATTGTCGAGCTTTACGACCAGATGATTATCATATGTTACTTGAATTATTATCATCAAATACAAATGCTGATTCACCGCCAATTTTTTTTGGTTCATCACTTATTGATCCATCAACATCAACACCATATTCAGATGCAACACGTACACAACCAAAAAAACGTGTACGTCCTGGTCATGTTAAACGGCCAATGAATGCATTTATGGTTTTTTCACAAATTGAACGTCGAAAAATGGTTCAATTGGCACCACATCTACCGAATGCTGATATAAGCAAGTAAGTCAGAGATATTTGTTTTTCTTTTTCTTCTATTTTATATTTACAAATATTCTAGATGTTGTGGAGCAAAATGGAAGCGAATGTCATTACGTGAACGACAACCATATATGGAAGAATCGGAACGATTAAAACATCTTCATGCACGACAATATCCTACATACAAAGTAAGTATTTCCTTCAATTTTATTCTATAAACATACTGCTTCTAATGATCAACTATGGCTTTGTTCATTTTGAATTTTTATTCTATAAAAAAAGTGCTTAATTTAAATAAGCCTTTCGAGAATAGAACAGAGATCAGAATTTATTTTTCTTGAATTTGGTAACATTTTATGAACGAAATTCGAAGAACATAGAAAGTTAGAAATTGATAGATGAAAAAACGAATGAAATCTTCTTGTTATATGTTTTAATCTTGAACAGACCATTTGAACAATATTCAATGGCTCGGTTTAACTTATAGCCTTCAGAGATATTAGTTTTCATTCATAATCTCAACTGCTATATTTAAAACGAAAAAATTAAGTAAACTCTTTCATACTGCATAAAATATTTTCGAATTCGAGCGTTACAAGATTTCTAAATCACCGTACACGAATCTACATTTTTATCATACACAGTACATTTGTCAATATAGAAATATTTCTATCGATTAAATTTTATCATTACTCTTTATAGTATCAGCCACGAAAGCGATGCAAGATTAATCAATCAACAAATGTAGCTTCACATTCATTTTCAACTACTGCTTCATCATCATCATCACCACCACCTTCATCAAATAGAATGACAACAAATTCTTCACAAATTTCAAATGCTACTAAAGAACAACCACAAACACCACCACCATCACTACCACAATCATCATCCTCATCCTCATCATCGTCATCTACGTCGACATCAAATCCAAATGATCCAATATCACTATTAGTAGCAACATTATTCGATCAAAAATTAGCAATGTTTGCTAGTAATTTTCAACAATTTAATATTGATCATCTTCAATATCATTTTACACCACCAAATACTCAACTTTATCCAACACCAACACCAATGCCTTTTGATCCTGTGGCTTTTCTTGCTAAACAACAACAACATCGACTTATTTAAAAAAGAACTTGATATAAATTAAAACATTTCCTAGTTAAATATACATCGTAGATAAAAACAAAACATAAAAAAGATAGATTTGATAGATAGACAAAAAAGAAAATTTTACTTTGATTTGATTTGAGCGTTTTATTTTATTTTGTTGTGTGTGCGTGTGTTATGTGATTTCTTTTTTTTTCTTCACTATGCTCTGGATATCTTTCTCTACAGTTTTGTTTTGTCTTTTTTTGTTTGTTTTACGCTATCTAGTAGTTCAAAGATCCATCTTTAGCTATATGAAAAAAGAAAAGAGAGATTTCTGATTTTTATAAGTACAATATAGGACGAAAAACAAGGCAAACTTTTTTCAAAGAAAACAATATATTATCAAATTTTAAACAATTAAAGTTATTATTTTAAACTTTCATCATTTATGATTCAAATTGAAATGAAAGTTTGAACTATTGATCTTATAAAATGAGGGGTGTCCAAGGACTGAGATTTGGGAATTCTTCCAATTCCTAAAAACACCAGCTAAAAGTGACATATCCCTTGAGGAGCTGGGAACTGATCCTCAAGCACTTCTCAAAACCTCCTCAGTTTCTCATCGATTCATTCTCGTGAATAAATCATAATTCATTGTAACGATAGTTCCCAAACTACGATACCTTCCCATTTCCTCATGGCCTCCGGTGGGAATCGACCACCGACAATTCCTCAGATAGGAATCGAGGAAATAACTAGAAATAACCGTCAATATCCATGAGAGGAACTGACACCAACATTAGTCATCATCATTCAAATTCCATAAGAAGGACCCAGACAACAACAATTACCACACAAATGCGAGGACACGTCGGGAAACTAAAGAATTGTGACAGTTCCCCGGCTTTTTTTAATATTCGGTATAATTTTCGTATCTAATGAATACTACATCATTTTCTCATTTCCCTGGAATTGTCAGCAGAAGTTAAATCTTTTCCTAGTCTCTATTGTGCCGTAAATGAATCAAGACAGCCTCCCGAGAAGTGTAGAGTTTATATCGGAAAAAATGAAAAGCCTCACTTCTCCTTATTATCTTGACATATCTCCTACAGTTCTGCCCAGTTCTAAATGACAATTCCTTGATTGAAATTCCGGTGACCAATTCCCCAGGAAAAATAAAGAATTATCCCTATTAGCGAAGCGGTATACGACTTAGCTAATCGAATCTCCTCGAAGCAATAGGAACTTAGGGAAGGTTCCTTCTAGGCATTTACCTTAGTTTTCCCGAGAAATTGAGGTAAAGACGTAGTACTTTTTAGGTATTAAAATTATGTCGGATACGGGAAAAAGCCGGGGAAATGGAGAATTGTGACAGTTCCTAGGAATTGGGGTGAATACCTACAAGGTACCTATTCTCAGTTCTTCGGGTAATTGAGGTAGCGACGTAGTATTCATTAGATACGAAAATTATACCGAATATAGAAAAAAGCTGGGGAACTGTCACAATTCTTTAGTTTCCCGACGCGTCCTCGCATTTGTGTGGTAATTGTTGTTGTCTGAGCCCTTCTTATGGAATTTGAATGATGATGACCAATGTTGGTGTCAGTTCCTCTCATAGGTATTGACGATTATTTCTAGTTATTTCCTCGATTCCTATCTGAGGAATTGTCGGTGGTCGATTCCCACCGGACGACATGAGGAAATGAGAAGGTATCGTGGTTTGGGAACTATCGTTACAATGAATTATGATTTATTCACGAGAAGGAATCGATGAGAAACTGAGGAGATTTTGAGAAGTGCTTGAGGATCAGTTCCCAGTTCCTCGAGGGATATGTCACTTTTAGCTGGTGTTTTTAGGAATTGGAAGAATTCCAAAATCTCAGTCCTTGGACACCCCTCAGTTCATATGCTTCTTTGTAGCAATTTGTTAATAGCCTCTTCCTTCTTTTTTTGTATTGGCATAGTTTATTCATTTAAGTTGAAGCTTTGGTTCTTTTGTTATATATCTCTCGGCCATTTCTCGCTTTCTCAGGACAGACAATCTAGGTTTTTTGAGAATTTAATGTTTAGAATATTTTACTGATTTGAAGAACTGTTTATGGGCAAAGTTTCAGGTCAGAATTCATTTGTTAAATTTTCTTTACAAGTACGGTACCAAGGATCAAAGATTTAGTGAAACGACCATAACACCGGAAGGACAACGCATGGGAAGGAAATCTTCTGGACTTCTTTTAGTCTCAACAAATTCTACCTAATAAGAGTGGGTTATCTCAAATGCGATATACCACTTCGATTAGTTCGCTCTCCAGAACAATCATAAAAGTACAGAGTGTTGTAAAAGTTCAAACGAAATGATAATTCAAATGGATTGTCTAACATTTAAATCTGTTTATACAAAATTGTTTTATAGTTTCATTCGATATAACTTCATATGCAGAGTATATTAAAGGTCTGTCGGATTAGTAAACGTCAAATATCTCTTGAGAAATTCAAGTGATTTAATTGTTTTTTTTTTCATAATATGGTAGTATATTTTTATTTGCTCAAATTGTGACCATCTATCAATATTTGTCAGAAAATTTTACGTACACTTTCATGAGCTAGCATGTTTTCTTGATAGAATTTTAGAGATTATATTACTTTAAATGATGTTAATCAGAGATGTTTTATCGTAATTTTGTTAGATTTCAAAACAATTATAATTTATCATCAGTATATCATAACGACAAAGATTTCATTGACCAGATCTAATGAGAGAGATTTTCCGAACTGATAAATTGCTTTTGATTTGAGATTACGCAT